TGTCTCATTCGGGAAGCGCCGTTTCTCCCCTCTCAGCCTCGTCCGTCCGTCGAATGGGCGCTGTTTACGATGGGCGCTGTCAGCTGCTGAAGGTGCCCCCGACGTCCGACTGCCGTACCCCTGTCGTAAACCGTCGTCTTACAGCGCCGAAACGTGCCGACCGTGCGTTCTGCCAGCTCGCCGTGTCCCCGACGACGGCAGCGGCGCGCCTATTTACGAGGTTGTTCCTTCGTTCAGGGGTGCGCGGACCCCACCCCATACCGATCTGGTGTAGGGACGAGTCTGATGAACCGGGAGGGAAGGGAGGTCCCGGGGTAACGGGATCGGCCAGACATTGAGCTGGACGGCGATACGGGCCGCTATGGAGCGTACCGAGCTCAGTCGCGGCGTATGTCGGCTCTGCGGTGACGGCGTAATGGACTGTCGAGCCGCGGATGTCGGCCTGTCACCGCGATGACTCCGATAAGCAGGATCGCCGAGCTGCATTTGGCTCGCTGAGTGAGTTGCTTATGCTGTAGAAGAGTGGCGCGCGTGTCCAAAGATAGCGAAGCACGCTGTCTGGTTTTGGTCAGTAATGCATTGTAAGAACTGTGTTACTTGTGTGGACATGGCCACACAGGGAGTTCCAGGAGCTGAGTTTCCACGCCAAGTTGACCGCATTGGAGGCGAAACTGTCCACTGCGGGATTATTGTGCTGTGTTCTATTTGTGCTATATGTTGCATTAGCACTGGCTAAACACAGCTAAAAAAACATATATCCGAGAGTGCGGAATTGTTTTATTCTGTAGAGTATCCAAATAATAAAGCTTGTCGGATTCTCAAATTGCGCAACACGTCCCAGCCATGTACCAGGCCAGTCGCAATATCCACCATCTGCCTGCCATTCCTACCGATCTTGTGCAGCTTCACCATCGGAGCTCCATATAATCGGCGGGCGCCTGTCTGTTTACCTCTCAGGCCAGATTGGACGCGACTATCAGACCAGACAGCACGTCTCAGCAGAGACGGGAGGGGCGTAAAGCTTTGTTCACACCGGGGAGTCGATCCCCGCGGTGGCAAACGTCAGTTCGATGGGCTGTTTGTGTGGTCACTGGTCAATGAGACGGCCGTGGCTTATTCAAATTGATTGGCTGATCGGCCCGGTCTTGTTTGCCAAAAAGTAATGACAGCGAGCCACTCGCTTTGTTACAAAATTGGGATGACGGGCATGAAAATCACTATCGCTGTCATTCAAGTCGCGGTTATCTTCCAACAAAATGTCATGCAATGGCTGAGCAATGCGATACTGTTCCACCAATAGGGCATTCAATTTCACTCATAATACGGTCTGCATAGGCTGTATTGAAACATAATAAAATGGTTAGCTTGAGGAATTCATGCCAATCCATTGTAAGGATTCATCGTAAAGCATAGTTTAGCCACAAAGTCATGAACTGGAAGCCCTGACTAAAGTATTGCAAACAATTCTATAAGACCGCTCCGATGGAGTCACGATTCATGCGAGCTCGTACAAAGCATACCAGCTGTGCTTTTGCTTTTATCTCTTTTCGATCGCTTATCTACCATAAAGCCGTGCTAATTACCTGTTTAGGTGACGTCAAAACCTTATCGTTGGCCTATCACGGAACCCCACGACATTTTACTAAGGCTGATCATGAGAGAATGTTTAGTGAACGAGACGGCTCAACAGAAAGGTTGCTCAAAGAAGTAACTATAATCTGAAAGCATGCAAGCAGCTCTGATGTATGTCTTTATTGACTAGGTGAGCTGTAAAGTCCGCTCTGATTTCACTGAAGGAAGAATCAAGTCACAATAGGTAGGTCGGTCACTGAAACGATTTTCTCTCTGCCCAACATCTTTTGGGCCCTAAGCCAGAAAAGTGGCCGATTGGCTCTCCAAACGCAGATAACATTTCATTCCAGTGTAATGCAGGGTCAGAATCCTCTTAATGTGCGAACAGCGGCGAAATGCACGGGTCCTAGCCAAGTGACTAGCGAAATGCAATATAACGCGAGTGGCATGGTGCTTTTTACAGCCTGTCATCGGGTTTAGCAGCTGGTGGTCGGCGTTCCTCAGAGATTATCCGTCGAAAAACGCTGTTAGTACCTGGGCGAGCTCCCGGCCTGAGACACGAGCAGTGAAGTCATAGCGGAGGGCGGAGGTGGGAGAGGGTCCAATGGTGCTTACTTACCCTGAAGCTTCCGAAGAATATCAACGAACTGGGGGACCGGCTAAATGATTGCCTGGAGTGCCTCCTGGTTCCCTGGAGTAGCCCTCAATTAAGGTAAAATGACAAAAGTTGTCAATGGTTAGCGTTGATTACAGTAATCACAATAGCTGAATCGAAGGAATTAAGATGGCGTTGAAAATATCCCGAGATTTTAACATCTTATTGCCTATTAGGTCCTCTGTACTGACTTATCGAAATGTTACGCTGGTCAATTACAACTGATCATGTAATGAATTGATGGGCTGGATTGATAAAATTTATCAGCCACATCAAATGAGCAGATTACCATAACTAAATAGCTTCTATCAAAACCTGACGACGAAATCAGAATTTACGATCGTCCGCACGTTTCTCGTCCCATCATCTCCTGACAGATACAGCCCGCCATTATCAGGCATGCCAGTTTCGGAGGCCGCGGCTCGTACAAACCACTAGTTCTGCCTTATCTCGGCCTGTCCCGAGCCGCGGACAGTGAGAGGGCCACCTGTGCGGGGCTCCCACCGCTCCGCCCGGCCCCTCTCACCCCGGCTCTCACCCGGAGCCCACCGACCGGCCGAGCTGGGACAGCTCTCAGGCACGCTCCACGGCCAGAGACCAGGAAGTACCGACACCAGAGGATGTCCTAGAGAGGTGACACTCCACGTGGGGTGTCGGAACGGTCACCCACCGGACACGGATGGAACCGGCGGATAGATATAGATTCCATGGCTGACTAGCTTAGCGCTGAAGTGACTTTGTGCTAAGAAACTGTGGTAGGCGCGCCAGACATACGCTAGGAAGAAGACCGATGACGAAGAAAATAGGGGAAGTTGGGGGAACGCCGAATACTTTTTTTTCTGACGCCTGTAGCACGCAACGTAGACAACATAAGCTATTCTTGTTGGCGTCATTCGAGAGGCCAGTCGTTTGCCTTTCAAACATACCAGGCGCATTTGATGAATTCGCATACCGTTAAGCACACAAACTAAGAATATCAAAGAAGTGACTTTTTCGGCGTTGCCCCGGACTGCGGGGAAAGCCGAAAATGGGAAAAATGATCTACGGGGAATGCCGACATTGATGTTTTGCCATTTTATCTCAAACTTTATCCAGAATTCATCAAAGCTGACACGCGTTTAAGATCTTGAGGACGCTTGGTGCACACTGGAAGCTATAATTGTGTGATATAATAAGAAAATGCCAGGTAAATCATTCCTTATAGGTAACAGGCCGTTGTGTCGGTTGAAAGTGTAATTTGTGTGGCTAAAAATACGCGTTGCTATTCTACAGCAGTAAAGTCCACGTAGCGTGCTTTAACGTGCGTAATTGCACGTTTTCGGCATTACCCCAGCCAGCCATACTTTCATTTGCAGGCCCATTACTTTTCAACGTGCTGTATAAATTTCAAATAGGCAGCACACTTATGCAAAGACATGCTGAAGATTACTTGACCGAATTGGCCAGACAAACGGTAGCATAATGAGTAACAAATGCAGCTTCAAAGGCGCATGTAGTACAAGGGAAACGTACCTTGAAAACGCTCTTGGCGCCCTCACAGCCGAAGTTTTCCGAATGACGACTCGTAACAAACATGCGATAATTGTAGTCACTTAAGATTCAGAGCATCACTGACATGTGGCATTCATGTCGTATAGTTTTCGAAATATCTCGAATTTCGGCTTTGCCCCAACTCCGGCATTGCCCCAACTTCCCCTAGACTATGAAGCATTTCATGTTGAAACACAATATGAAAGCTTTGTAGACAAAAATAAACAAAAAATGTTCAATTAATTTGAGGGGAAAGTGATAGCTTTATATGACGGATAAGTCACCGCTAAATCCCTGAGGTTTGCAAAAAGGAACTAACTGACAACTGCTGAATTGTTCAGCCACATGCGCTAGCCGCTAGCTGTAAGTCACCGTTCGCTCGGCGATCAGCACACTCGCAGCCGAATGAAATGAGCCGACAACACAGCAATAGCACTGCACTTACAGGTGTACAACAAGCGGGTATACACGATCTTGTACTCCACAAAACACGACAGGGCAGCGCGGGGAAAGTAATGCCGCGCCTCTAATGGACTACAACGACGGCAACCAGGCCCCAGGCGTCGAGCGCCCTCCCCATCGTACCCTCAATGGCGCGTGTGTATGAACGTCCCCAAACCCAGGCAGGAATGACACGCGCCAAAACTGTCGCAGAGATGGCACGCTTAGCGTATAACCGTCGACCACAGTACGGATGGATATTACGATTTTTTTTTAAATGCCACCGGATCTTTTGACAACCCATAACATCGATAACTGTATAGTAGCAATTGTATCAATCAAACATGACTTTGCATGCAAAACAATGAGTTGCAAAAATGCAGTTAAATAATCGTTGAAAGAAGCTTATATAATTAAATGGATAAAACGAACAACGAAATGAATGCATGGAACATTAATCGCACCAGTACAATTTTGACGTTCCTGTTTTTGTCTAACTTTTCAAGCTGACGGATAATGCAAAAACTTCTATTTTCATTCACAGCAAATGCTTCTATAATGTACGATTTAATCAGAGAGTTCAGAAATCAGCAAAACGACAATGTCCTTCATTCGACCGAAGGAAAACTACTATAATTAAACACCAATGCATGACCTTCATGTTTCAAAGAGATGGTTCGTCACGGCACCAGGATAGCCATTTGCGTGTACCTACCCGTCACCAAACGAACCTTACTGTAGCCGCAATCCACCAATGAATCGATGCAAAATTTGTCAATCCATCTGTGGATGAAACACTTACCACCAATTGGCGCCGACCCCGGTCCAGTTGAGCAGCGCAGCGTAGCTGAGAATCACCACACTGACCCGGAGGACCCGGCAATTCTTCATGGCTCCCCTTGTCCAATTACCTCGTATCCAATCTCTACAACACCGCCTGAATCTGACGCAGTCCCAACGCGATTCGAATCTACTCGACGGGGCGCAACGGGACGCGACTCACACCTATGCCAGTCGGTCTGTGGTCTCTCGGACCCCCGTCAGCGTGGTCCGTCGCGTCGGTCCGCGCGCCGCTCCGCCGCCTCCCCACGCCGAGGGGCCAGGTAGTTTGTCCGCGGCCGCGCGCCGTTCGCATAGGGCGCGGCGACGGGCCAATGAGCGGCGGCGGCGGCCGCGCGCGCCGCCTCCCCATTGGTCGTGACGTCGCTCCAGGTCGTAAAGAGGACATGCAATAAAATCTGGGCTCATTCTCCGGCTAATGAAAGAACTAATAGTGCCGATAGGGAGCGGGCTCGTAAACGGCGCCGACTGGGGAGCGACGCGCCGCCGGCGGAGGTGGCACAAGAGGGGCAGAGGCAAAATCGATGGACCGTCACTGGCACCGCCACCGACACAGGAACTGACACCATCACCAACACCGCAACGAGAACTGATGCAAAAAATCCTAGCACTTAGAGTGCACCGGCAGCACCGCCACAGGTTCACGCTGCGGACACTGACTCATGCGGACAATGTCATTGATCCCGGCACTGCCACTGACACATGCAATGACACTGACACACGTCGAACATCGACATTGACACCAAAGTCATGTCGTTGAGATATCGTTTAACTTCAACAACCATCTAGAACTGCAAGAAAAAAAGAATATCGCCACAGCACCGTGAAGGTATGTAAAAAACTCGTAAGACTTCGAAAAAAATGTCTGCCGGGCGACTCGCTCCCAGCCGAAGCCAAACACGCACTCTGTCTCCGTTCTTTCTCCGGTCTCGAAACGTTGCCGACAAGTCGTCCGTCGATGTCCGACCGCGACAAGGATGTCACTAATGCCACACTTATGTCTCGCAAAAGGCCACAAGAGACCTTTAATTTCCTTCTCCGAAGGCAAGCGGTCGTTTCCCAGCTTCAACATTAAAAGTTTGGCAGATCAACCAGCTATAAACCGGGTGCAATGTCCTCCAGAAGCGGCTACAAAGCGTGTAACGTTTGGACATAACTAGGCTGACGATCTCAGAAAATGTGTGCGGTCAGTTTCGAGCAGACGCACATGGACGCGATTTACGCAATACTACCGGGTGGCCCAAAAAAAACGTTCCGAACTTTGGTGGCATATATCTCGAATTCGAGTGCAAATAACAAGCCAAAATTTTCATCAAGCTTGCGTCACTTCTTTGCGCATTGGTATGCCAAATTATAACACTGTACCATCATTTTCAAGCCAGCAATCTTATGTTGAATTAAGTAAGACATTTTTGCTTTTTTTGCCGTTGTTGAACGGTAGTAATTATTGGCTCAGACGTATCATGTTAGAAAAAAAGAAAAATAGATCACGTGAATGATACCAGCACGTGTAGTGATATTTTAAATTTTTTTTTCACTTATGTGCCAAATATTTAAATGCTAAGCCAAAATTGTGTTAATGGATGTCATTCGTTTCAACACAAATCCTGTTTCGAAGAGAAGGAGTGGCCCGGTGCATGGGTTACTGCTGATCGCCCTCCCTTCAAGAAGATCAAATAGTAAATCGACCGAATAAGGAAAAAAAGCTAGAGGGAATGTGTCACCCAGGGGCCTGAACCGTCAATGAGACTAGTTGCCAGTAGCAGTCATGGCTGCAGGCCATGGTGCCGAGATGGAAGTGGCCCGTTCACTCACATTTTTAGTAAACATCTGAGCAAAAAAGTGATTTTTACATGGCATGCTAGAAACACGAACCGTTTAAAAAGTAATAGTCCGAATAACAGAAAAATCATACCATTTGCTGAAAATATATGCCGCATTGACTATTAGAAGTTTCAATGTTGTATCTTTATTACTTTCTGAGAAATATTGATTTAAAATTGGGAACGTTTTTTCTGGGCCACCCGGTATAATACTTATGTAGCTACTTCAACTGATGATTTTTGTATTTTCAGCGTGACATGCCCACTATAATACAGCACGCATGCGCACCCATCGGGTAATCTTTTAATGGACTCCAAAAGATTTGTAGGGATTTATGCAATCAGTTACTTCTCTCATGATAGTCTTATGACCATTTGCGAGGACGCTCATTAGCTGATAAACCTAGTGTGACCTCTGAAGCCCTGTATGCTCGGTTGACTCGCCAACACAGCTGCTGTTCCGCTCAGTCTGTATTTAGCGGTTTCCTGAGAAAACAAAAACACAATAAGCAGGGCACATAACTTCTAACCACATGTGTAGGCAATACAACTCGCCGGCAATACATATCTAACGGGGGAGGGGGCGACGAATCGTGAGGCCCAACAGAAAACTATGTACGAGTGCTCATTGGCATCACAAACAAGTCGTTCATTGGAATCGCAACAACTCGGACAAAACGAAAACAATACATCCATCAATGAACAATTGTAACAATTGTAAACAATAGAACAGTCGCTATCGCCGCCGATCATAGCTGCGGCAGATTTGACGCAGTCCCACACGCAGCAATCCAACTGCCATCTAGCGACTGAGACAGACAACATGTCTAGATGTCGCCACCGAACGCTCAACAACGAATTTAATGGCATAAAAGGCACCTTAATATAACGAAGATATTACCCACAGGTTTACCCATTAAGTAACTATAAAGTACAAATTAACTTCGAACTCACCAACGAGTACCACTTCCTGGCTTGAGAGGTCCTGACCACCTTCGACGTAACGGGGCAGCCACCCGCGCAGAACGGCCTCCCAGACAACAGAGGCGGACCCGGCGATCCAGTCTTGGGCTCTTCCGACACTGCAACCTGCTCCGGCGCCTCGGAGGCGCTGCAATTCAGCACGACCAACAACAAAGAAGTGCGCCCACTGCAGACCCAGACTCCAGCGCTGCAGCGGGAGCCCGCACCGCCGAGACGCGCCGGCAGCTCTGACCCAACTCCGGCCCAGCTCCGCCCCGGGCCAGACTGTCAGGAGCGAGCTCAGGGGCGAACTTGAAAGCGGCCAGCTGCACCCTCTCGTCCACAGCACCACCCCCTCACGGACCAGACAGGCGAGACCGCCTCTGCAGGGGCCACGAGCCGGCGCCACCCAGCCAATGCGGGCGGTCTCCCAGCAGACGCCAGGGGCGTGTATATAATTCCAGCGAGCGGAGGGGGCAGCTATCGGGACTAAACTAAATTACCATAACCACCACCCGCTGCGGTCACACCTAGATTAAAGTGATTTTCTCATGCTCATTGAAAAGATCCCTCACACGTGCAGCTCGAAAAACTTGCGTAAAAACTCAATCCTTCATCAGGTGCTTAGGTTTGGAATTTCGGACGACATACAACGAGCTGCTGATTATGTAAAGGTCACATCAAGTGCAGCGAAACCAACTTGTAGGTAATATAGCTTCTTTTATATAGCGTCCCTCACGTTAGACCACATATTCGTAATGCGTCGTCCGAATTACGTAAATAAGCAGGTTCCTTTGATTCTTTAATTGCTCGCTTTTATCGGCATTCCAAAAACGCAAATAAAAACACATTTCACATTTTATATTTTGTAAAGTTTTTTCTTAAAGGGACCCTCCCACGTTCAAAAAAGTTAATGAATTAGCATGAATATGATATCGGTCGGTTCAGAAAGAGCAGAAACGAATATCTACCAAATTTCACCGAAAAAAATATTCACCGGTTTTCAAGATATAAGACTTTTACTGTTGTTTACTCTACGGGATCTCCGCTATTCTTAGCGACTTTATTTGGAAGCAATAGTTTGGCAACCGATAGTGCGGCACTTGTTGCGCGCAACACAGCATATACCACCGCGTGCTACCAAACGTTTAATAAAATATTTAAAATCACTAGATCTGCGCTGACGTCACACATTCAGAGGGGGCATTCAAATGCATTAGCCCCCTGAATCCAAAGTGCTGCAACATTGAGATTAGATTTTTTCCATTTAAGTCATTTCTCGATGTTTTGAGTGTTCAAAACGGTAAGTGCAAGCCAGGAACCCCATTTTGACTATCTCAACTCAACACTAATGTTAAGGTGGGATGGTCACTTTAAGTGAAGCAAGCAGGTCACTTTAAGTGGAGCAAGCAGTTGAACAGGCCTTCGGTATTTCGCTATTCACAGGCTTCCTATATCGGTATGCTAGCTTTGTCTTTACGTTTGCCTACTTAACCCTCGCCCGTATAGGGGGAGGGGTCGAACGGACCCCCCCCCCATGGTTTTTCGCGAATAACTCGCGTAAAAAGCGGCCGATCGCAACGAAACTTTCAGTACCCTCGCGTTCATCAATTTTACACCTACCCTGAAAAGTTCATGACCCTGACCCAAGTGACCTTTGACCTGTGACCTACTTTTCGAGACCATGTTTGGCTGGAATCGCGATTCGGCGTATGTCGGCTCGCATTAGCCGCGCGTTTGCAGTCTTTTCGTGGTTTCAAGCGTTCAAACATGCGATATGATGTTGCCCCCATGCATTAGGGTGGGTGTCAAGGTCACCTGAAGGTCAGGTCAGGTCATTAACCTTTGATGACCTCGGTTCACTTTTTCGAGTTATACATGTTTCTAGGCCAGTTTTTGGAGCTGAATTCGAATTTAGCAACCATATAAACATTTACGAAATAGTTTTGGTGCCTTCGTAACATGTTACGAAGCTGTCAGAGGCGGTTGCCACCTACTACGAATACCCTTACTGGTTGACCTGACCTGAGCTGACCCGACCTGATCTAAATACATGAAGACATCATCTGTGATCAAAACTAACATGATATTCGTGATCAGCACCCCGGAAAACCCCATAGCAGCCACAGTTTACGACGTTCTAACAGGTCCCGATTTTCCCGCCTTTGGGGTCATTGACCTGACCTGCAAGGTCAACCAATGACCTAGGACCTTAAAATTGGGTATCATCGGCTTTCTCTCGTCACGGGCAACACGCTCGTTTTTTCAGCGAAGCTCTATCAGCGAAAGCGAAGCTCTATCTAAGCTCGATCAGGGGCGAAACGGCAAGGGGGGTCCAACGGACCCCCCCCCCCCCCTATACGTTCGCGGCTGGAAAAATACCAATACGGGCGAGGGTTAATACCAAACTACATGCTAATGGTAGTTTTAACCCGCGCCGTGCT